AACCCGGTCACGTTTTTGAGGCGAAATCCGCCGGAATCGGTGAAGAATCCCCCCGGGTACCGCCCCACGGGCATCCCCGCCGCCCCCGAGCCCCGCAGAGCCGGTTCCAGGTGGGTTGTGCGGGTTTTAATGGATGGCTGCCCGATTTTCCCCTCAGCGCCCTCAGGTTCCCCTCAGACTCCCTCGGCTCCCCTCAGGTTCCCCTCAGGTTCCCCTCAGGCTCCCTCAGCGCCCTCAGGTTCCCCTCAGGCTCCTCAGGTTCCCGCCAGGTTTCGCTCAGGCTCCTCAGGCTCCCTCAGCGCCCTCAGGTTCCCCTCAGGCTCCCTCAGGTTCCCCTCAGGTTCTCCTCAGGTTTCCTCAGGTTCCCCTCAGGTTCCCCTCAGGTTCCCCTCAGGCTCCTCAGGCTCCCTCAGGTTCCCCTCATCTTCCCCTCAGGTTTCCCTCAGATTTCCCTCAGGTTCCCCTCAGGTTCCCCTCAGGTTCCCCTCAGGCTCCCTCAGGTTCCCCTCAGGTTCCCCTCAGGCTCCCTCAGGTTCCCCTCAGGTTTCCTCAGGTTCCCCTCAGGTTCCCCTCAGGTTCCCCTCAGGCTCCTCAGGCTCCCTCAGGTTCCCCTCATCTTCCCCTCAGGTTTCCCTCAGATTTCCCTCAGGTTCCCCTCAGGTTCCCCTCAGGTTCCCCTCAGGCTCCCTCAGGTTCCCCTCAGGTTCCCCTCAGGCTCCTCAGGTTCCCCTCAGGTTCCCCTCATGTTCCCCTCAGGCTCCCCTCAGGCTCCCTCATGTTCCCCTCAGGCTCCTCAGGCTCCTCAGGCTCCCTCGGCGCCCTCAGGGGCACTTGCGCTCCACGCACTGCTTCCCGCCCTCCTCGTACTCCTGCTTGGAGATCCACATCTGCTGGAAGGTTCCCTGCGGGCGGTTTCGGGGCCGTTGTCAGGGGTTCCGGGGGGTCCCGGCCGGGGGTCCCCCCCTCCCCCCCCGGAGCCCCCCACTCACGAGCGAGGCCAGGATGGAGCCCCCGATCCAGGGGCTGAAGCGGCGCTCCATGGTGCTGTTGCTGGCGATGAGCTTCAGGCGCATGCTCTGGGAGAGGGGGGTCACTGGGGGCACTGGGGGCAACTGGGGGGCACTGGGGGCAACTGGGGGGTACTGGGAGCACTGGGGTTAACTGGGGGGCAACTGGGGGGACACTGGGGGGTGGCTGTGAGGCACTGGGGGCAACTGGGGGTCACTGGGGGCAACTGGGAGAAGCCCTGAGGCCTGGTCTGGGTCCCTCAGAGGGCTTTGGTGTCCCCCCATCCCAAATTCAGGGGGTCTCTCACGGGGGGGTTTGGGGTCATCTCCCACCCCCCCCCAACCCAAAGCCCGGGGGCCCC